CTCTCTCTCTCTCTATGTGTATATATATATATATATATATATATATATATATGGAGATATACACCTATCTCCTAGAACTGGAAGGGACCCTGAAAGGTCATCGAGTCCAGCCCCCTGCCTTCACTAGCAGGACCAAATACTGATTTTGCCCCAAATCCCTAAGTGGCCCCCTCAAGAATTGAACTCACAACGCTGGGTTTAGCAGGCCAATGTTCAAACCACTAAGCTATCTCTCCCCCACTCAGCAAGCCCTGCCCAGGAAGCAAGACCCAGCTCACTGAAACAGGCACAATTTGCTAACAGCTTCCACCCAGTGGTGTCTGGCAGGCCCCAGCTTTCCTTATATTCACAATAGGAAATAGTCTCCGTATCTGTGGGGTAACTTGATAAATGTTCACGTTTTAGAGAGAGACCACTCTGTGCATTTTATGCAAATATATGTATAATATATGCAAGGCCCAGTGCTAACCCTACTACAAGTGCTACTTTATGTTTGTAAGTCTTAACTCAGCAGTTCAGTTTCACGCTCAAAATAAACCTGCTGGGAAGCTGCACGTTGTGATAAATTTTCCATTGGCCCTAAAAGAAGAAACCGTTTGAAGGGGAGGGGGGGAATAAAAACAGCTTGGCACGTGCTAATGTTTGGTGCTGTAGAAATTGAGATATTTTCATCTGATACCTGGAGTCCCAGACGTGGGATCCTTCCAATAGAAATGAATTGACCCCCTGGAATCCATCCGAGTTCTGCGAGGATGTATAGCTCTGTGATAGTGCCACAAGTTTCCTCTTCTCTTCCCCGTCAGTCGTTAGCATCGTCCAGCACACTCATTTCTCTGTTGTTTCTGACTGTTTCGTATTTTGTCTCCTAGGGAGCAGGAAGCCTATAAATCTTCCTGCCTTGTGGCTGCGACTTGCTATTTGCAGCACAGCTTGGGAAATCTTTGGCTTAAACTCCACAGGTTGCTCAGCTAATATGCGTGGCCATAATGAGTTTTGATTGTCAGGTTCTTAGGCACTGTGTCACTTGTTTTCGATTCCTCAGATCCTTTTTGCCATGAACTTTTCCTGGCTCACCTCTCATTTATTCACAAGAGGAAGATGCAATTAGAAAATGTCCAACGTAGGCAGAAGGGAGGTATTCTTAGACGATGCACATTCAAGCACAATTATGCAATAACAAGAGGTTCTGTTTAGATAAGTAATTAACTTACTGCAGCATTCATGCAGACTGGACTTTGCTGTACTTTATAAAAATGGAAATTGAAAAGACTGCTTGGACCCATTTCTTTTCCAATGCAGGCTCTTTCCCTGCTGTATATTTTGTAGGGCTTCTTCTGGTCTAGTTATAAATGAAAGGCTCGCTGCAATTTTCAAAGGAGTCTATGTGAATTTGGTGCCCAAATACTATTGAAATTCAATGAAAGTTGGGTGCCTAACTAAGATTCCTTTGTGTACCAGTCAGATTAATAGATCTATAGATTTCAAGGCCAGAAGGGATCATTGTGATCATCTAGTCAGACCTCCTGTATAACACAGGCCAGAGAAGTTCCCCAAAATAATTCCTAGAGCAGAGCTTTTAGAAAAACATCCAATATTGATTTTAAAATGGTCAGTGATGGAGAATCCACCACAACCCTTGGGAAGTTGTTCCAAAGATTAATTCATCTCACCATTAAAAACATACACCTTATTTCCAATCTAAATTTTCTAGCTTCAACTTCCAGCCATTGGATCATGTCAGACCTTTCTCTGTTAGACTGAAGAGTCCATTAATAAATATTTATTCCCCATGTAGATACCTATAACTATGATCAAGTCACCCTTTAACTTTCTCTTTGTTAAACTACATAGATTGAGCTCCTTGAGTCGGTCACTATAAGGCGGGTTTTCTAATCCTTTAATTCTTGTGGCTCTTCTCTGAATCCTCTCCAATTTATCAACATCCTTCTTGAATTGGACACAGGATTCCAACAGTGGTTGAACCAGTGCCAGATAGAGAGGTAAAACAAGCGCTCTACTCCTCGCTGAGATTCCCCCCTGTTTATGCATCCCAGGATCACGTTCACTCTTTTGGTAACAGAGTCACTTTGGGAGCTCATGTTCAGCTGATTATCCACCATGACTCTCAAATCTTTTCCAGAGTCGCTGCTGCCCAGGATAGAGTCCCCGTCCTGAAAGTGTGGCCTACGTTTTTTGTTCCTAGATGGATACATTTTACATTTAGCTGTATTAAAACACACATTGTTTGCTTGTGCCCAGTTTACCATCCGATCCAGATTGCTCTGTATCAGTGACCTGTCCTCTTCATTATTTACCACTCCCCCAATTTTTGTGTCATCTGCAAACTTTATCTGTGATTATTTTATGTTTTCTTCCAGGTCACTGATAAAAATGTGAAATAGTGTAGGGCCATGAACCCATCCCTGTGGGACCTCACTGGAAATACACCCGCTCAATGATGATTTCCCCCTAGACTCCTAGACTTTAAGTTCAGAGGGGGCCATCATGAGCACATACTCTGACCTCCTGCACATTGCAGGCCACAGAACCTCACCCACCTACTTCTGTAGTAGGCACCTAACCTCTGGGTGAGCTACTGAAGTCCTCAAATCTGAATTTGAAGACTTAAAGTTATAGAGAATCCACCATTTACTCTAATTCAAACCAGCAAGAGAACCATGCCCCATGCTGCAGAAGAAGGCACAAAACCCCCAAGGTCTCTGCCAGTCTGATCCGGGGCAAAATGCTTTCTCAACCCCAAATATGGTGATCAATTAGACCCTGAGCATGTGGGCAAGACCCAACAGGCAGAAACCTGTTGTAACGCAGAGCCTCTCCAACCAGTTTTAACTCAGAGCCTCTCCATCTAGTGTCCCATCTCTGGCCACTGGAGATACTTGGGGCTGGTCCACACTAACCCCCCACTTCAAACTAAGATACGCAACTTCAGCTACGTTATTCACGTAGCTGAAGTAGAACTATCTTAGTTCGAACTTACCACGGGTCCACACGCGGCAGGCAGGCTCCCCCTTCGACTCCGTGTACTCCTCTCGCCGAGCAGGAGTACCGGCGTCGACAGCGAGCACTTCTGGGATTGATCTGGGATTGATTTATCGTGTCTAGACAAGACACGATAAATCGATCCCAGAAGATCGATTGCTTACCGCCAGACCCGGAGGTAAGTATAGAGTACCCTTGGTAATAGTAGTCACGGAGGGGCCATAAGCCATTGTAGGCAATCTCATCATACCCCTCTATTAATTTATCAAGCTCAATCTTGAAACAAATTAGGTTTTTTGCCCCTAGTACACCGCTTTGAAGGCTGTTCCAAAACCTCATTCCTCTAATGGTTAGAAACCTTTGTCTAATTTCAAGCCTAAACATACAGATGGCCAGTTTCTATCCATTTGTTCTTGTGCCAATATTGACCCTTAACTTAAATAACTCCTCTCCCTCCCTGGTGTTTATCTCTCTGATTTGTTAGGCTAAACAAGCCAAGCTCCTTAAGTCTCCTCTTGTAAGATTGGTTTTGAGACCTATCAGTTAGCCAGTTTTTAATCCATTTAATGTGTACCATATTAATTGTATATCATTCTAGTTTTTTAATCAAAATGTCATGTGGTATCAAGAGAAGTGTCTTACAGAAGTGCATCAACACTCTTACCTTTATCAACCTAACTTGTAATCTCCTAAAAAATGTATCAAGTTAGTTTGACAGGGTCTATTCTCCATAAACCCATGTTGACTTGCATTAATTACATTACCTTCCTTTAATTCTTTATTAATCAAGTCCCATATCAGCTGCTGTATTATCTTGCCTGGGATCAATGTCAGACTGATGTCTGATTACCCGATGTGAGATGATCTGTGTCATCCCATTTACTCTTTTTGAAATGTGCATAATATTAGCTTTCTTCCAGTCTTCTGGAACTGCCCCAGTACTCCATCACTCATTGAAAATCAGCATTAACAGTCCAGGATGTTTTAATACTGGCAGCATGAGACCTCCAGCATGTGTCACTCAAACTGACGTTCCCCGTAATCACACAGCTCTTACTCCTATACATTATAAATAGGTGCATAAGGAGGCAGTGGTCATCCTGTTCCCTAGTATCATTATATCCTACAGAAAGGTGTAGAAATAATGTAAAACCCTAAGCTAGATAGCTAGTCAGAGCCCAGCACTGCAAGCAGAT